ACTGACCAAAACAACAATATATTATGTTTGTATTTACTATTTCTCAAAAATGCCCTTTACTATCAAAAGTAATTTTTGCTTTGCACGTCAATGTTTGGTTTGAATTAGTTTGAATAAGTTAAGTCACCCAAATTTCTTTCATACCCGGGGTATAATATTATTATTAAAGGCTTTTATGGTAAATTTCAACAATCATGTGTTTTTTTCCCCCTTTAAAAATATTTGAATAACCAAATTTGAAGGTAAGAGAATTACTGTTTTACAAATGTCTGGGGGCTAGATTTGGATGTTTGGGATAGGCGTGTTCTACGTCATTTGATAATACACCACTCTCCCTTTTTGTTCAATAACCGGAAAATCCCTTTTTCAAAAAAAGGGTGTGAGATTGTCATAAGTTAGTGAATTTAAAAATTCGAAAAGTATATTGAGATTTGGGGAGTTAAAAGGGCAACAATACCAAAAACTTAAAAAGTAAGAACTTTTCAGCCCAATTTTACCTGGAATACGTTTTAGGGGTAGCCCCCCGGACTTTGCAGGATAAATTTTAACCCGGGTTTTAATTTGGCTTGGTTGTCCTTGGGAATTTTTCGGTTTCCAGATGTCTGATCATTTAAACATGAAAACCCAACCCCGAAACAGGCCCCTCGGCAAAAGGGCCAAAAGGCACCAAACCCAAATTTAGGAGAAATATAAGGCAAAACCAGACGACGCATTTTAAAATTTTACAAATAAAATCATAGAAAACACTAAACGATGCGAAAAAATTTTGGAAAAAAAAATAAATGTAAACCCAAAGGTCTTTTACAGAAGATTCCCAAAAGTGGGGTTTACCCCAAAAGACCCAAAGCCCAAAGTCTCTGAGGATGAAAATTTTATAACATTGATTTTGGTTTTAGTATTTATACTGCAAGGCCGGATTTCCCCTTTAAAAACAGATAGTTTCCCCTGTTTTACGCTTTGTATTAAATTTTTTATTATTTTATCAATTCATCATCAACTTCAGCAACCAACTGTTGAAATTTTTTAAAAAGAAAGTTATTTTATATTAGATAAAAAACGGTTTTTCAAAAAAGTGAGGGCTATTTCGCGGGTTCCTTACGGGCGTTTTTGGTTTTTTAAGGGCAACAACATTTTGGGAAAAACGAAATATTTCCAGTAAAAGCTTATAAAACAGCACACTCATACAACCCATAAACATCTACAAACCCTTAAAAAAACGGTGCAATTAAAAATAAAGGGATAAAAACAAATAAACAAAATCGGACACAAAGAAGTTATCCTTTGCCCCCCAAAAAAAATTCACCAATTTAAAAACTCCCTGGGCCCACCATTCAGGTTTGTGGGAAACATATTTTGTTTGCATGTTTTTTAAAAAAATTGCTTCTCCCCGTGTTTTTTAATAATTTCCCAAAATTACCAAAATTTCAAGAACTTTTTTAAAAATTTTGTAAGTAAAAAGACACTGTTATTGCTTTAAAAGTTTTTTTCTTCATCATCTATCCGTTCATATGTACCATTTACGAGGTCAAAAACTTTTAGCTGGGTGTAAATTGGGTAATAAAAATAATGATAATGAAATTTATGCTTAAAAAAAAGTCAAAAAAAAAGTTTTCGCATTTATGATAAAAACAGGGGAACCCAAAAAGATGGGGCGTTTTGTAAAGATTTTCACGAAAATAAAAAGGTTTTTTTGTGAAGGATTGTTTACATCCAAAATTTCCCAAACAAACCCCATGATTGAAATTTTCTGAAGAATCCCTTTATTAGTTGGTAACAAAATTTTGATTGGGAAATGGGTAAAAACAGTAAATTTGAGCTAAAGGACAAACCTTTCTTCTTTTTATTGGTTTCATCACTTTTAAAAAATACCGTTCTAATTTTCAAAAATTTCCTGGGTTTTTGTGCCGATATTCTCTGCCCTACTATCAAGAGAAAGGTTATTTTTGGGGTTTTTTTTTGTTTTTTTTCTTTTTTTTATCCGTCATATTTTTTACCATTCTTTTGTATGTCCAATAATTAAACTTTTAAAGATTTAAATTTAAGTTTGCTGATTTTCTTTTTTTGTAAGAATAAAATTTCTGCCAAAAAGTATTACCTTTGTTATTATTTTCTTTGGGGAACGTTCTTTTTCTTTTAGAACAAAGCCGCTTTTTCATGGAACTGCACGAAAGTTCGCATAGAGGTTATTGAATAATGCCGTATGAACAAATTGGGATTGTTCTTGTAACGCAAAAATTCACCATTTTAATGTTTAAACGTTGAATTTACTTAATTTGCTGTATGGTGCATGAACATTTTAATCAAATGAGTCTGCAACAGTTTTCATTTTTCCTTTTGGTATTATTTAGGTATTTCCGGGTTTTTCGTAAATTTTCTATTTTGAATAAAATACTAAAATGTTTTACTGAAACGAAATCAAACTGCATATCCCTGTCATGCACTAATTCAGTATATGAAAATGTACATGCTGGACTGAGGAGAAAAAAGCACGCTCCGTAAATAATCAAAAATGCAACATAGCGGGTGGCGTAGTGATTCATAGGTCTTCAATCAATGGATGCTTATTCGATGCCTCTTTTTTACTAAAAAAATCGTCATCTTGATTTCTTTCTAATGTGAATTGCAAAAGGAATTTTCACGTAATAAAAAGTCAAAATTTTTTTAAATATGTTTTTCAAAGGCCCCGGGAATTTAAAGGTATCATGGGCCTTTTTTAAGAACTGTCCGGGATGATAACAAAAATTTCAGACCTGTTGGGGGTTTGCTATGCACAGTAAAGCTTTGGGCAGCTAAAAAAAATAAATAGATTTCAATTAATTTAAGTAAAACAAGGTGGGAAATTTTTTTAAAAAAAAGTAAGACTTTTTAAAATGAGATTTGACAAAGTATTTTAACTCAACAAACGAAAAAAATTTCTTAAATTTCTTTTCAAAATGTGTACTTTTATTTTACGATAAGCTTTTTTGTATTATAATGTATTTAAAATGTGCTCTTATTTCAAATAATTAGCATGACTTTTAAATGACAATATAGTTAATTTTTTGTGTGTATGATTATGTCTTTTTTATTATGTAAAAATTTATCAAAAAACTTGTGATAATTAAAGACTTTGTGCTTTGAAAATTTAAAGATTGAAAGATTTTCATCTAAAACCCAAACCCGTATTGAAATTTTAAAAAAAAAAACTTGATTTTTTTTAAATCTTTCCAAAACCCCAAAAAATAGTCCCTTTATGTTTTATCAACTTGTGGGTTTTATTTTTGTTTTAACTATTCCCCAAAAATCACAATTTTTTTTTACAGATTTTCTTCAAAAAAACACTTAAAACTTTTAGGAAAAAATCAATGTCAGGACTTGAATTTATTTATAAGAAAACCCCTTCGGGTATATTTCAACCCTTCCTAGGGCAAAAAATGGCGCATTAAAGGGTTATTGTTTTTAACTAAAATCAGACAAGCAATTTAAGTGCAGCATGTGTTAATATTTTTCCCGGGGAATGGATTACATTGTTGTTATACTTTAAAAAACTTTGAAAAACTACTCATCATTTATTTAAAACCCCGGGTAATTTTTAACCCTTTAGGAAAAAATTAAGGAATAAAAATTTTTTTCCTTTTTTTATATTTTTTAGCTTAGTACATAAAAGATACGGATCTTAAAAGTCAAGGCGCATGTTATTTTGGGGGATATTATCGACAGAATTTTCCCGCAAAGGGAAGTTTTAAAGGGTTTTTCTTAAAAAACGTTTTTTATTTATTTTCGTGCTTTAAAAATTTATTTTTTATATGAAAAATTATGGTTTTTTTTAGATGTGCCCGTAATGTTTGGCCCTTCTTTAGAAAATTTTAAAACAAATGGGGTTTCATTTTAAGCTTGGGCGCTGTTTAAACCTTATTGTAAAAAGTTCCCGTTTATTTCAAATATTATTTTCAATAAACTGGCAACTTTTGGGGCTGTTGTAACCCAAACGTTTGGGTTTTCCCCTTTCCCTTTATCATAAAAGGGATTAGCACGCAAAGTAACAACCCTAATATAAATTTTAATGCTTTTACTGTAAACTAAATTAAAATTTTGTAATAGCAAAAACGCTGTTTTAAAAACCCTTTCTCGTAAAAAGTTTTCTGTTTAACCCGAAGTAAAAGCTTGGCAAATAACAACCCTTTCATTTTTATATTAAACACTAAATCAATTTCGTTGTAAAGCTTTTTTCGTTTATCAGACTGAATTTCAAAAGCTTGGCGTGTTACGAAACCTTTTAAATTTTAAAAGACGTTTTATTCAACATGAAATTTTTTAAACCCGAAAATTTTAGTAAATGTACTGTTACAATCGTCTTGTAAAAACTTAGCGTTGTTGCAAACAGACCTCTTATAGCTAAGCACCGTTACAACTTGAGATGTTTAAAGCTTAGCACTGAAGCAACAAACTTGTAACAGCCTACCACTGTAACAACCTTAATCGTAATAGTTTTGCGTTGTTGCATCCTGAATTGCAATTGTTTAGCTCTGTTACAACCTGAATCGTAATAGCTTTCCGCTTTGACAAATGAAAAATAAGAGGTTAATGATGTATAAACCTGAATTGAAATTAATAGATTGGGACTGTTACAGCATTTTTTGTAACAACTTGGCTCTGTTAGACATGAATTGTAGTTTTGCGCTTTAACGTCCTGAATTGTAATAAATTGGCGCCTTAATATTTTGAATTGAAATAGCTAACCTTTAAGAAAGCTTGTTCTGTTACATTGCTGGATGGAAACTACGAAACTTCAACTTGAAGGTTTGGTGCAATTAAAGGGTATAAAATTGTATAATATATTTTAATTTATGTATCACATCGCAATTGCTTATAAGTAAATAAAATCATTACATCAGAAATGTTTAGTTTTACAATACAAAAGTATGTTACACTTGTATTATAACTTCTAAGAAATGGTCAAACTCAGTATATTTACAGCTTATAAATTACACAGTTAATACTAGTCTTGCTATGTTTTCAAGCTTTAGACAATCACTGTGGAACCGTCTCTCTTAGAACCGAAAAGGTGGTTGAGAATGGGAACGTGGAAATTGAGTATTGTCCAAGTTTTGCAATGCTTAACCGTGATAGACTCGAACGTAAATGGATACGTTTCGACGGAAGGTTTGGCGAAACATTAACATTGAATGGAGGTAGTTACGAAGAGAAAATGGAACAACATAACAAATATATCTTGATAATATACAGGTTCAATGTTTCTATGAAAGGACAATATAGGGTTTATTGTGGTTCTCCTGTAGACATGTACACAGATCCTGTTACCGTGAACTTACCAGGTTTGTGTGTGTTTCTTAACTGGAAATGAACTTTTAAGATCATTAAAATCCTTTGCAGAAATACAATTTGTACGTAAAACAAATAATTAGGGAGTGTAAAGACACATTGGCATACACTGAATGACAGTTCTAACGCAACGATTTTCTACAATGTCATTCTCAAATTTCATCTGAACTGGTTTGGTCACCCTCTGCACATGAACGATATGAAGTCATTCATCCATGACTGGTAATCAGTTCCACACGTGAACGATTTCTATTTCTGAACAGGGAAAGTAATATTATACTGTTGCAGTTATATTTTATAATTTCAAAGCAAGATAAAGATGTGAGAAAAAACTATCACTTCATTCAGGAATATATTCGGTGATGATTGATGACGTAAAAATTATCGTATAATATCTTCATTAAAATATTTTGTAATAATTTTCGCTTTTTATGTTTTATTTCTTTTATTTTTGCCATCCTTGTTTAAAGAAGCTCATACGTTTTATTATCATCATCATCATCATCATCATCATCATGATTATGATTATTATTATCATTATTATGATTATGATTATTATAATTATTATTATTATTATTATTATTATTATTGTTGTTGTTATAATTATTATTATCATTATTGTTATAATTATTACTAAATGACAACAATGTCATTAACAGGAAGCACATATGTCAAGATGTAGCTTTATACTTCACAACAGCAGGTGTCAAGTGCCGTGTGGCAGCTGTAAAAAGTTGCCCCGTACTTCACTTCATTGTTGTTATATTTTCTGGTCTTTCCGGATCATTGATGCCAGCACTATTAAGTGTTGAAAAATGAGTACCGCTCAAGCCGGTGCTAGGGGGCGTGAGGGATGTTTCACGTATTCATTATCCCTCATGTACAGAATCAATCAAACCGAGTCTGCAATTCTCTTGTAATTTTGTTGTGATTAATGCTTCCGAGGGATCACTTTGTTTTCAGAATTTTATATTTGTTATTAAGTTCAACGATTATAATTGCTTAATTCGAATATATTTTTTATCAAAATAACGTAAGCGTTGCACTAGAAGTGTCTTTCAGTTTGTATTTAACAAGTGGTTGTTAAGTACTATTAATAATAGCACAAAATAAATTTATCTTCAAGTCTGTCTTTATGTGCATTTGTTAAAAGATATCATTGTTGAGTAAGACAAATCATCAGACATTTATAAAGCATACAGAATATAAATAATTCATTATTTTTATGTGTTGTTAACAAAAGGAATGCATAATTTTTCAGAACCACCAAGTGTACTTGTAATAGTTGGATTACGAGACATAGAAAATTGCAAGGACTGTATTGTTGGTGAGGATAATGAGATGTTCAAACTTGTATGTGAGATACACGGTGGTTCCCGTCCCCTAACCGTTACCATGACAATAGGAAATGAATCATATACACCTCTAGAATGGAATTTAACAACCTATATGGTACTTTTCACTGTTAGGGACCACCATCACATGACAAATGTGTTATTTTCAGTCATGAACGATGCATTGTCGTCACCTTTAAATGTTTCTGCTAAGATGTTTGTTATAAGTAAGTATTATATGCTTATTTATGTGTATTTAAGATGGTATGTTTACTTTTACACGTTGTATACTCACAATACCAATCAATTTAACCTCATACATTTTAAACTTTTGATTTTAATGTTTTATTAAATATCATAATATGAAAAAGGCAAAGCCTCAAAGCGAGCTCGATGTACTTTTTACGTGAAATAGTATGAAATAATCGCTCATTTTTATTTCAAATGCAGTAACGAGTGCGTGTGCCGTCACACGTACTGTGTTAAATATGGCTCCGCCCCTGTCGTGAAATGAATAACGAGTTTTGAAAACGTTGATAAAACTTTGTTTATTTTATTTCACTCTATAATTTATCAAGCGAAATAAAGATTATTTAAAGTGAAATTAATGTAAAACTTAAAACGTTTGCGACATTAAAATAGCGTACTTGATTTATTTGTTTTGCACGTGCTGTTTGGCGCTACATTGTGACGTCACGTAAACAATAATTTAAACGTCTGTACAGCGTTAACGACTGAATAAAAGATATTGGTGTTCGGATTCATTTTCTTAGTTAGACCATTTTCTTTCATTCTAGATAGTTTTCACAACAAAATTCGACAAAAAAATTGTTTTTATTTATCAGATTTCAAACAAAATGGCGCCTTCGATTTTCATTTTTGATACACAGCTTCCGTTATTCTGGTTCCCTGTCCAATTATGGTTCCCATAGACGTGCGCGGGTGACCAGTGTAGACATCCGTTTTCAGTCAGAATTCCTCAGTTTTTATCGTTATCTTTAAATTCGAAAGGTTGCGATGTGTCCAATTCGGTACTTTGGACGAAAGTTTTCAAAAACATCACTTAGCAGGTACTCGCGTTACCGTAAAGCTCGCTTTGCGAACAGGCCCTTCGGGCCAGCTCGTCGAGCTCGCTATAAATTTTATCGGTATATTTTATTACAGAACCACCAACTTTTCATTATTTTGTATGGAATAGAGAGAAATAAGAATCCCTAAAGAAAGCCCAACACGGCAAAATTGAAAATGTTGCAGGCTCGGTTTGATTGAGCCTGTTCATAAACGGTACTGTCAAGTGCAAACTACCGTCCACGCACCGCAGAATTCAACATTTAACATGAACTGGTAAAATTTAGAATTTTGAAACATCCGCAGATGTGTTCATATGGCGGTTACCATGGAACTTTCAACATTGGCACGTTAGTGCCATTCCATGAAAAGCGGCATATGGTCCCCAAGTAAACAATACATGTGCCTTAAACGAGAAAACAATGGGCGGAACTAAATAAAATGAAATTTTGAAAGGGGGTCTAAGGTTATGAAGCCTGCATATCACAGATATGACGTCAAAAGATAAAAAAGCAGGCCAAATAACCTAAGGGTGATTCAACAGTATTCAATTGAGGAATACTGGAACCACCCAACAAGAAAGATGCCGAATAGTAAGAACTAAAATACCACAAGCACAACAATAATGCCTTGATGAACGATCTATAAGGATCGGAAATATAACATCCCTGATTTAAATGTACGGGGCGACTTTTTAAAGCCTCCACGCTGATTTAGCGATAAAAGTCAAAGTACTACTTTGATGTCAATTTTCTACTTACTTGAAGAATTATTTCACATTCAGTAATAATTTATTTATGCCATAAGCGTCAAACATGCTTTAAACCGATTATACAAATGTTATAAGACTTATGTTTGCCTTTTAAGAAGACAGAAAAATATTAGGCATATGTGCCATAAATATGCGTGAATACGATTTTGCTTATATATATAACAACGTGTCTATTGTAGCCTGTAGCTGGAATATTATTCTTTCTTATTATTCAATATCAGCATATAATAATCTGAGGAAGTGACACGACATAATGGTGAGTGTGAAGGAGTGTGATTCGGCTTTGACCTTGAACTTTTTTATTTATAGCAGACTTACAATAATCACCTTTGTCAATACGATTTGGCTTTCTGGCAGAAAAATATATATTATATGCATATAACGTGCATATTGTAGCCTGTACCTGGATTAGTTTTGATTCTTGTTATTCAATATCAGCATGGACGTGACACGACATAATGGTGAGTGTGAGTGTTTGATTCGACTTTGGCCTTGAACTATTTTATTTACACCCAATTAAAAATAATCACCTTTGTCAAAGGATAAACCTTCTGTTACTTAATAATATTTGCTACTGTGTTCAAATTTGAATGACCATAAGTTACATAATTTGAAAGAGCAAATATGGGGTTGTATTCTGGAGGTATTCTATGCCTCTCCCTTTCTTTCTCTGTCCGTCCGTGTGCAAGCATGCACGTTGGCGTGCACAAGTCTTTATTTGATTTTTATACTTTACATTATTATTGTAAAAGTAAATTAGAAACTTATATTATTTCAACAAACATCTGACGAACACTTTAACTTGGTAATGTGTACATATAGTTCAAATGAAATTAATGTTTGACACATTTGACGAAAAATAATTGAAACATTCATAAATTGCCTTATATTTTACTGACTGAAGTTGCTGATTAAAAATACATGTAAGTAACGCTTTGATAATAACGCATCCGTCTGCGGTTGTTCATTTTTCTGAGGCGATAATAATAATAAACCTAGTATGTGAACTCCCTGGTCAAAATGAATTTAGATCAAAGATGTATTAGTAAGATGTTTTAAAAGATGTTTTCTTTTCCGTATCACATCATTTGAATCGTTTTTGACCACTGGTACGTACGAGTTACATAGCCCTATAGTGTCAAATGCATGTATAAAGACATATGTAACCACAATCCCGACCAAGTGACATAATCACTATAATGCAAAGCATCGAATGATAGTACGATAGTTTACACAGAAAAAAAATGTCATTATATACTCTATTATATGTTATTAAAATTTCAATTTCAATTTTAATTACAGTTAACCCAGATGATAGAGAGACGGGCGATAATATGAGTACAACAGGTGAAAAGTCCATTATTGCTCAAACTGTGGGTTATTGATATACGTACAAGGGTTGTTCATTAAGTTCGTAAAAAAGCCAAAACATAAAAAACGAGAAACATATTTGCATTCACAAATTGCCTTGATTTTTACTGACTGAAGTTGCTGATGAATAATAAGTAACGACTTTGTGATAAGGCATCCGTCTAGGCTCGTTCATTTACTCTAGCGATAATAATAATGAACCTAAGTGAACTCGCTGGTGAGAGTTTATCTAAATTAAAAATGATGCAGTTAGATGTTTTGATAAATGATTTTGCCGTAACACATCATTTGAAACGTATGTGACCACTGGTACTTACCTACAGAAAACGTTATTGAAATTTCCTGTCATGTATAATGTAATATATTCAAGAAGCGTAATCATAATATCACAACGCATTAAAAGACATGCACAATAGTATTCACAGAAATAAACTAAATGCCATCATCGCGTTGGTGTGCGTGTTTGCGAGCGTCTTTTAAAGAAAGGACAAACCAATATTACCTTTTGATGTACAAGTCTTTATTTGTTTTTTTCTTTTTCTCTGGCGATAATGAACTTTCTGGTGAGAGATCATCTTAATTAAAAGTGAAGCATAAAGAGGTTTGAAACTGTGTTTTTTCTGTAACATATCAATTGAATCTTATGTGACCACTGGCACTTAACTACAGCAAAAACGTTTTAGCACTATTCTGTCAAATGAATGTTTAAAGCTATACATAGCCACAATCCTTGTCAAGAAGCATAATCATAATATTTCAAGGCATTAAATGACATGCACAATAGTATTCACAGAAATTAACTTTGTTTAATACTCTAAATTTTCTAAATTACAGCACACCCAGATGGTAGAGAGACAGGCAATTATATGAGTACAACAGGTAAAACTGTCCTGTCCATGTGGGTTATGTTATACGTTCAAGGATTGTCCTTTTAGTTCGTATATCAGCGAAATTATAATATTATAAAGCATTATTGTTTATTTGAGAAAATTATTTGTATTAAAAATCGAAATATCTAACCACACGGCAAATTATTTGTAAAATACGACATGAATATTTTTAATTCATATTTTAACAATCGAAATTTTGCAAACCGGCGCAGGTAAAAGATCGGAAGTTTGACTTCAATAGTGTACAATCAATAAAATGCTTCCAACTACCATGATTTCCGCGAATTACTCAAAGGTGTTTTTAAATCTTTGACATCACTCACAACTTTGCTCTTACAGCGCACTTCGCTCAACTAACTTCACTAGTTGCAAGGATAAAGTAGTAAAAAATAACCACCTTTATCAAAGGGTAAAATGATATATGAAGCTACTTACAATATATTTGCAACTGTGTTCATATTCGAATTATAATAAGTTACAAAATTGAATGAACGAAAACAAAATGTATTCTCGGGTGCTTGAAATAGTCGCTAAACTTTCAAAAAATATGCAATTATATAGAAATAGGCGATTTACAAATCCTGAGACGGATATTCAAAGTAAGCATGTCCGATTTCCCGCTGTTACCCAGATTCGCTCATTCTTTACTATAAGAAGCGTGGTACACATGAGGTATATCCGGGTCAGGATATGTATACATGTAATGTCGGGAAATATAAGAAGTCAGTGCTAATAACTTCTGAAAGTGCCTACCTACATACGTTTTGGGCTAAATTTGGACTGGTAAGCGATAGTATTATAGCTGCATTTTCTGTTTCAACTGTTTGCATGCACTGACATTAATTTCTTTTATTAAGAAAAAGATCGATTTATGTTCAAAATCGTCTTCTTACGGCTCGGTCAAGCGATGTCCTACCTAGACAAAAAGTGCATTTCGCTTTAAAATCGTACCAACTAGCATATTATTATTTCTCGAAAGAAAAGCATTTCTGAGTAGATTGCACATTTGTTGGTGAAAATTGGTTGACAATTAACAAAGATCAGGGACGTTAAATAAGGCCTAATGGTAGTTTCGCTGGCGAACATTTCTACCTTTACTATATTCATAGTATATATGGATGAATTTTTTAAAAAGAAACTTTTCTTTGCTGTTTTGAAAACGATATATTTTTTTTAAAAAAATGAGTGAAAAAAGAATGATTAGTGAACATTTCTTTTAATTAGTGGACGTGGTCATGAACATGTATACTATACAAGGCACGCACGAACTGCTTTTGGTCAAACTATTTGTCACTTCACAAAGTCAATAAACATTTATGAGATTGTTATATGTAAAAGTTACTTCAAAAAAGAGTTTCATCATTTTGCGTGATAAACTATGTCAGGGTACAAAAACGTCCCGGTTAAATGACATTGTAAACTAGCTGAAAATAAACAACCGGTTACGTGTCAATCTGGTTGGCACTTTCCGCATTGTCACTTATTCAAAGGCAGTACACAATGCAAATTGTACTATATTATGTAACTTAAAGGTTAATATTTAACACTAATGATATATTTTTGTGCATGCGTTTTGTTTTGTTTTGTCTTTCTTTTTTTCATTGAATTAATATTCCCTCATCATAGATTCGTATATATGTTATACATACAATTAACGTTTTAAGTACTTATTGCTTCAAGCCGCCCCAAAATAACTGTTTTCTGGATTACATAACTTGAAATAAAGTCTGTTAAAGCCTTTAAATAAGATAAATTGTAGACATTGTTATTGCGTTTATGCCCTACGCAGAATGTGCATGCGCAAAATGCAGCATTCGCTACAATAGAAAAATTGTATTGTTAAAAAGTCAAGAGAATAACGCTAACATTAAGCGCGTCTTGACGCTATATTTGTATTTTGCAAATAAAGTCATGTCAAATTATATGCACGACTGTGCAATATCATCTTAATGGCATCGCAAAAGCGGCACGGATATGTGATAAAAATGAAGAATAAGTTTACGTTCTGCGCATAGAATATTGACAGACTTTCTAAATGAGTGAACAGTCCAGGTGATGTAATACCTGAGCCAATGAATGATGACGGAATGAATAATAGCACCAATGGTTTTATAGCATGCTTGTCGAGCTATCAAGTTGAGTTCGAAATAACGTCTCGTGCTACCTCATTATTGCAAACTTCGATACGAGGGATGTTGTACGTTTTTATTATGCTTCATGTAAAGACTCAGTTAAACCGAGTCTGCAATTTTCATGTAATTTCATTTTGACTAGTGCTTCCGAGGGTTTTTTTTCATAGTCTGATTTTTGTAAACCAATATCAGTAAGGTATGAAATTAATTTTGTTAAGTAGAAATTTATTGCATTACTATAGATAAGATGTTAAGATTTGAAATCGCTATTTATTTTTTTCATATAATTAAACGAAATATTGTGTGAAATTTTGGGACCACTATCGTATGTTTTATCATGAAGTGAAAACCTGGCTTACACTTTTAATTGAAACGTTTTGTTTTCCTTATGAGACTGATTATATATATATATACGAGGGGTTATCCAAAAATTCGTGGACTTTCTTTGTTGCGTAAAATACATTTGAGATATTTATTTAGATAGATAGATAGATAGATTTATTTCGGCAAAGGAAGCATATACATAGTTGACAATATAACATAGGATAAAATAATGAGCATTATTTAGGAAATAGATATCAATTCTGAGTGCATTGTTGTAGAGTAATGCACGGTTTGAGTTCAAATGCGTAGTAATATAATCACGAAGGCCGATAGGCCTGAGTGATTAATTACAAAGCATTTGAACGAAAAACGTGCATTATTATACAATAATGCACGAAGAATTGATATCTATTTCCATTCTAATACGTCAAGAAAAAATATAATTTTTATTATAACGTTGGACTTTATGTTTGGTGGTTGAATTTGTTTTCGCCTCAGAGTTTCCAATAGAAACGTTCTTTAGAGGCCGTTCCAGTGGGTTGAAAAAAAAACTGTTAAATCTACCGTTTGTAGAAACATTTTGAAAATAACGAATTTTGAAAACGTTGATACAACTTTGTTTGTTTATTTATTTCAGTTTATAATTTTCCAAGCGAAATACAAATTATTAAAAGTGAAATAAATGTAAAATTTAACTCGTTTGCGACATTAAATAGCGAACTTGATTTGATTGTTTTGCACGTGCTGTTTGGCGCTACATTGTGACGTCACGTAAACAACACTTTAAACGTCTGTACAGCGTTAACGACTGAATTAAAGATATTGGTGTTCGGATTAATTTTCTTAGTTAGACCATTTTCTTTCATTCTAGATAGTTTTCACAACAAAATTCGAAAAAAATTGTTTTAATTTATCAGATTTTTTAAACAAAATGGCGCCTTCAATGTGAAAATACACAGGGAGATAATAAGAACGGCGAGTGCATTGTTGTAGAATAATGCACGCTTCCGGCCTTCTTTGTCTATATAGAAAAAATTCCGATAGTGTTAGAATAAATACTATATCACATACGAGTAAAACTATGACATGCTCACCAAAACCAAGGATAACACAAAAAAGGGCAAAAAAGCTCTTATTTCCATTGTGGTCCTTTGTATTGGCGGCATGACATAGAGAGGCAAACCTTAAAATAATCATGTTTAAGAATACTAATAAATCATAAAAATGTATATCACAGTCAAATCTTGAGTTAATGATACTCCTGTTTACAGCTAGGATTTAAAACACATTACTAAAATTGTAATAAGATAAATGGCAGACAATTTAAAATCCTGAGCCGAAATATGTAAAAACATGTTTAAAAAAAAATTTAAATACTGTTCATAAGATGACTTTTGATGGCAACCTTAAAACTTTGTAACCTGTTGATCTCCGTTAACTTTACAGGTAAATCATTCCATAATTTAATACCAGAGAAAGCAAATGATTTAGAACCCTGGCCTTTGACCTTAGGTAGACAATATCCACCCTTTTGACTAAGTCTTGTACTATAATTATGAATGGAATCTTGTGAAATAAAGTGTTCAGACATGTAATCCGGAGATAGGCCATTTTTTATCTTAAAAACATGACACAACATTATCTGTTTAACTCTTTTGTGGACCGGTAACCAGTTAAGGGACTTAAAGTGGGATGGGTCAATGTGGGCTCTAGAGTCCAAGTCAAGTACAAATCTCATTATTTTGTTTTGACAAGTTTGTAACTTATTTTTTAAAGACTGTGTCAAGCTATTATACCAAACAGAGCATGCATAATCATAGTGACACTGAATAAGAGACATAACCAGAAGTTTCTTGGTATGCTGAGTAAGAAACTCTTTCTTGCGGTAAAGAAATTTTAACCGAGAGTTGGCCTTCTTAAGAACAGACTCGGCCATGGCGCAAAATGACAGATTTTGGTCTATAGTAATCCCAAGATACTTGATAGATGAAGTTGATTCAATGGATGTACCAGAACAGGTTATATGCAGGTTAGATTGTGACCTAAGTTTTTGCCTGGACCCAAATAAAATTGACTCGGTTTTACCCAAATGCAATGACAACTTATTGTCCACTAACCATTGGCTGACCAATTCCATATCATCTGTCAATGCCTTTTCAACAACAGATAAACTTTTACCAGATACAAGGATACCAGAATCATCAGCATACAAAAGCAATTTATTTTTGACCACAGCTGACATATCATTTACATAAATTAAAAAGAGAAGGGGTCCAAGGATTGAGCCCTGAGGAACACCACATGTTATTTTGGAATTGGAAGAATAAGTACCCGAGACATCTACAAGCTGCTGTCTATCTGATAAATATGATTTGAACCAATTTAGGACGTCAATACTAAGACCTGATGCTTGCAGTTTCATTAAAAGAATGGAATGGTCGACTGTGTCAAACGCTTTCTGCAAATCCAAGCAGCACCATACCAACAACATTACCTTTATCATTTTCATACCTGATAAAGTCTGTAAGGTGAATCAGACAAGTATCAGTAGAGAAGCCACTCCTGAAACCTGATTGAAATTTATACAGCAGATCTTTATCCTTAAAATAAGCTTCAACCTGGTCATAAACCACCTTTTCAAGGATTTTAGATACAACATTTAAAATGGACACAGGCCAGTAATTACCAACAGACAATTTGTCGTTCTTTTTATAGAGGGGAACAACTCTTGCAGATTTAAGGTCATCAGGGACTTGACCTTGGATAAGGGATAAGTTTATGATATGAGCTAATGGACTAGCAATAACTGGGGATCCATCTCTGATAAAACGTGAGGGTATACCATCTAAGCCAGTAGCTTTTTTGACACCTAATGAAGTTAAGTATTTAAGAACTTTACTTTCAGAAACAATGGAAAAATTTGAAATTCTTACACTGCTTAGAAGAATTAATAACAAATAAACACAGAAAAAATCATGTGAGTAGCTTCTTACATTACAATAATATTTGATTTTACATAAACACATGTCGGCGACAGCGGCGCACTCCAAAAATTATTGACGTCAACGTCATAATATTAACGTACAACTTGTGCTTCAACGTAACGTAGTCAGTGACGGTTACTGCTTCTCAAAGTAATGTCCATCACTTATTTTTTATGCCACTTTAGCACTTATGATCGTGATATTCTCTTTTCTCTGTTCGTCTGCTGATTTTTATCAAATGTTTTTGTATGTGTCATTTCAAAATTACAATTAAAATTTATGATTGTTTATGATCGTGCTTTTTTCTTATTACCGCGTGTCCGTCATTTTCCCGTTGTTAACAATGAAGGCGTCTGGCGTTTCTAGCGATATCAACAAAACTAAACGGAAATGACGTCTATTATTTTAAAAAATTACTTAAATGACATCATAGAAGAAACTTGCGATGTTCAGCAGGGTTTCTACGTATTTTTTTTAGTTTTTTAACAAGAAATATACGATGATTTACTGCGCTTTTCTACCGTTCGCCGGGTGCGTGTATGTGCTTATTTAAAAGCAATATAAAATCATTATTTATTGACACAATTAACTATTCCTTTCAAAATGTGTTGATAATATTCTACAATGTATGCTGATAAATTTTCATTACAATACATGTTGACGTTCAAGAGATATTTAAAAAGTCCACGAATTTGTGGATAACCCCTCGTATATATATATATATATATATATATATATATATATATATATATATATATATATATATATTATATATATATATATATATATATATATATAGGACAAGACAAAAATATCAAAATGTCCACCCGTTGAATTGTTCATATGTTTTTACTGCAGGTCAGCAATGATAATGTTTGGCATTCATTTTAAAAAAAACTCTTTTTATTGCCACTTTACTTAATAAACTTAAGGTATATAAAACTATACCCCTGTTTCATTACCTTCGCATTGCAGAGTATTCAAACAGGCTAGAACTACTGTCAACTGCATTGAATTTAAAGACGTCTGTTTTAATTTGTGCTAAATTAAATGTCGAAGTATGAGTTACAACCATTCCAGGATTTTTGTTTTGCGAAACAGAAAAAATAAATTCCTAAATAATTATGGCATGCAAGTGGTCAATTTAATACGAATGTTGCTAAGTGCAAGATTATGTAGGGCATTGATCTTTTTGTGTTTACAGGCACAAAAGAAACGTGTGTAAGTTTAGGAGCTGTAGTTGGGTCCGTTATTGGTGTATTAGCTGTTGGAATTCTTATTGGTGTGATTTGTACCTTTTTTATTCTTACTAGAAAAGGAATTATAGCAGGTATTGTAATAACATCGGTTGTTTGTCATTTATAGAAAATCATCTTAGAAATATGGTTTATAGGCAAACTTAAAATAGATTAATAGTTATCGATACAACCATATTTGAGCATTACATTAGTTGAGATCTTTTAAGAGAATGCTTACGCTTTAACATAAGAAGTAGTTTTCTTTCGTTTGTTGGTTGTTGTTTTTGTGTGTGTTTTTTTTAATAAGTCAGTAAATGCAGAAAAAAACGTGTTGTTATGTCTATGTCTATACCGATTGATTAGTTTTATAATGATTATTTTTGCATAAATGATGTAGAACCATATAGCAATGAACAGTTTAATTTTGTTATTATGTAAAACAAATTATTGAGAACAACATAATATGTTATTCTATGAATTATTTACCATTTTCAGTGGTAACAATTCTACTTTTATCAAACATATCTTATAAATGTTGGTCTCTAATATATGTTATAAACGATACATTTTGCATATGTGGTTCTGAACGTTCATTAGTTCATTTAATTTTAGACGCAATAACAGATTAGTATTTAAATGCTTTACATGTCCTATGCTATTTGATAACACAGGCTCGAAACCTCAGCAGACAGTTTCTCGTGACATAGAATTAACTGGACCATCAACTGCTCTGTAAGTTACGAATGTTTTAAAGGTTTTTCTTGTTCTTGATATAACATGACCAGGGTATTTCGTTTCGAAAATTACGATTTTATAATTTGTCATAATCATATGAAAGATCAGTTCAAAAAATAAAAATGGCAAAACTAGGGAGAGGCCTAGTTGGTGCATACCATCAATTAATCTTATTCGCCCTTTGACTACAACGCTTAAATTGATAAATTTAGCAATGAAATTTAACTCGTTTTTGAAAATCATTAATATTAGGGATACTTATGAGCAACTTCAAAACAGAACAGATACTGAAACCAGAGAAACTTATGACTCTCTTGAAGGTATGTTGAATTTTAACAATTTCTTTCATGTCGTTATTCATTTAACATGTATTTAATTTATCATTATTCGGATTGATAATGAATCTTTTACTATAGATCGTGTAGCATTCTAAAACACATATGATCAACTAAAAATATTTTATTATTTTGCAATATAAAGTCTAACCTTTATTTATGATGTAAACACAGCTTAACGAAATTTACTACCAGCCGTTTCTTTTTAAAAATTGTTTCAGTCAACTCCAGAGTGCAACAAAACAGGTATGAAAATTAAAATATTTAAAAAGTATTAAGTTATTTCTTAAATAGTTTTAACATAAAATATCCATAAATACCAAGATTGATGTAACTGATTTTTAATGCAATGCTCTTCATAATATTAAATTCGTAGCCTATTATATATGAATATAAATATAAGATACATTTGTAACTAATCTACGAGAATAGTGTAAAGTACATTCTTGCCTTTGTTAGACCTTGGTATTGTAGCTTAAATTTCAGCTGGCTCAATGCTTCAAATTATTATCAATGATAGGTCGATGAAATATCTTTAAAGTACATATTGTTGACTAAATACTGTAAACTGAAAGTTTGGCATAATCATGATAATTATTGTTATTAGATCTGCATTTTACATGCTTATTGTAAGTTACTTTTACTTTATGGTTTTATTTATTCTTTGTTACATATTCATTCATATGTCTATTTAAGCCAATCTCAGTATGAGAGTCTGAATCAGGATGCTGAGCAATATCACACATATACAGATCTAAAACAAAGCCGATAAATCTTTAGAATATACTTGAGAGACTCGTCTTGAACGTTCTGGTCTATTCGGAAAACTTTATAGAAGGATTGTTTGTAATATTTGTATTTCTGTTATTTTAAGGACTGGTGAATTATGGCAGTTATGTTGCTATAATATCAACATTATTCGTAAAAAAGACTTTTTAATTAAATGTTTATTTGTGATTCACATGTGTAAAGCTAAAATATGTGTTATATCAGAAGTAAATTGAAAGTTAATTTCACATAGATGATATCAATTTAAGTCAAGCTTTTATTATGTCTGTTCATTTTGCTTAAGCGGTAGCGTTTTGTTATTCTAGTGATATTTTGTAATAATTATTATCTTACATTTTCTGTAAATAAGACATGAAACATTTGTATTCACGTATTACCTGTGTGTGTGTATATATATATATATATATATATATATATATATATATATATATATATATATATATATATATATATATATATATATATATATATATATATATATATATATATATATATATATACAAACACATTCCTCCATTTACGGGGCATCGGTCTATTTGAGACCATACTTGTGGGGTGTATATTTAATGTGGGGCATACATAAGGCCTCGCAACTCTGGCATGTTTAAAACGATGTATGGGGGCGTAGGCTACCCTTCTAACATAGTGCCCGTAGGCCGGTTTTAGTAGTAAATGATATATGTCCCACAAATGTATATATTTATTATGGGGTTTTATGTTATTGGTCAATATGTTTTCACCTATGGTAAAATCAAATATATAGTTTATATATATAACTTAGTACCCCTTAGTTCTGTTGTATGGAAATGTTCATTATAGGCCTATATAGTGGTGTATATAAAAACTGACTGCATGAAATAATGCCACTCAACTCGGTCTTATATATGGGCCCCGTAAGTGAAGATATGTGTGAATATATATATATATATATATATATTATATATATATATATATATATATATATATATTATATATATATATATATATATATATATATATATATATATATATATATATATATATATATATATATATATATATATATATATATATATAGATAAAATTATAATGTTTAAGAAATAACAAACTCTATGTAAAATCGGTAGCGCTTTCAATGCTTTCTTCGCATATCTTCAGCCGAAACTTTAATAAACGGCTGAAGATTTGCGAAGAAGGCATTGAAAGCGCTACCGATTTTACATAGAGTTTGTTATTTCTTAAACATTATAATTTTATCAATTTCAACACTGCACAAGGAACATTTATCACGTTTTAATATATATATATATATATATTTATATATTTATATATAAATGTATATATCAGTCACATTCCTCCATTTACGGGGCATCGGTCTATTTGAGACCATACTTGTGGGGTTTATATTTAATGTGGGGCATACATAAGGCCTCGCAACTCTGGCATGTTTAAAACGATGTATGGGGGCGTAGGCTACCCTTCTAACATAGTGCCCGTAGGCCGGTTTTAGTAGTAAATGGTATATGTCCCACAAATTTATATATGTTTTATGAGGTTTTATGTTATTGGTCAATATGTTTTCACCTATGGTAAAATCAAATATATAGTTGATATATATAACTTAGTACCCCTTAGGTCTGTTGTATGGAAATGTTCATTTTATGCCTACATAGTGGCGTATATAAAAACTGACTGCATGAAATAATGCCACTCAACTCGGTCTTATATATAAGCCCCGTAAGTGAAGGTATGTGTGAAAATATATATAGTCATTGTGACTATATTGTGGTTCGGTCACCTTTTATTCATCCGTATGAAACTTCTATAAGAACTTGTTGGTAAGATATGAATTTAACTGTGCTTAAATTTTCATGTGAATAAGGACAGAAAACTCATCAAATATCATACTTGTTATACGTTCAATATTGTATTATAATGTAATGATTCTTTGTAATACTTTTTATATATATTTTGACATGTTAGTTTCTTTGAACAAGTGCTGCGGGTAACCGGTAATCTAGTTTGTATGCCATATCTTGAGTTATAACTCTTCCTAATAATTCTAATTAAGTACGTTAGACGAATTCCAGCCACAAGCAAAATTTAATATTGCATTGCTTTGCTCGATTTCAATCATAGTTGAAACATATGTAGTGAACCAGGATGATAACATTAAAGGGATTCATACTCTACAAATTTATTTTCAGGTTTCTGGCTCTTAAGAAATTTAGAAAAAAGCGTTTGTAATTTTTTTGCCCAAAATTATTTTTCAAAGAATATAGAAAAGTTATTTCTGTTCCGAAAAATATCGATATTATAGCAGAAAAGAACAGAACAGAAACTTTGTTTCTTGGTTTAAGCATAAAAAGCTCATCACCATATTACATATAAAAATACAACGTATAATACATAAATGACACATGACATGGACATATATAATTGCAAAAAAATGGTTTATGTAATGTGAGAATGTTTAATGAGATAAGTAATTACTTAAAAAGCATATAAATACATGTATATAATACACAAGAATTTGTCTATATTTACCTAACATTATCAATTTAAGCTGCAATACATTTTCTTTTATGTTTGAGAAATTCGGTAATGCCTATCAATAGAATCCACAAAAAGGCAAATTCGCAGTTTTAATTGTGACAAATGAAGGGGAATAACTTATGTAACTTTACATATCCAGTTTTAAACATTTACTTCCCCTTAATAATTCATGCTCACTATTAATAGAAATTATTTCTGTATGATAAATGAATACGTTTACTGATTTTGTACGTTTTCTATTTAAAGAAAATCCCACACAAAACAGACAAATAACCAAAACTTAATTATAAAGATAAGTTTTGTCAAAACATTTTATCATGGTATTTATATTTTTTATGTGTTGAAAAACAGATATATTTAATTTGAGAAGATACAAATATAAATAAATAAATAAAAAATATATATGTATATAGCTTTGTCACAGAATAAAGCTAAATTTTTCAGTTCTTTCTTGCGATCAGTTTGCATTAATGAAATGAATTTAAACAAAAGTATCTAAGAATGTCTTGCTTTCCTAACACAGAATATATCAGACATTTAAGGATAAAGTGAAATTCATCTTATTTATCATTCATATAACATAGAGTGCACTTTCGTTCATTCCTTGTACAATATTATGTCTTCCTAACTCGATATTAAGTTTGTGTGGGGACAGTCTAATTTTGGCTAAAACATTTCTATATTTAACATTTTCAATATATTTTATATATAACGATTGTTCAAAATAGAGTGAAATAAGAATCCATAAAGAAAGCCCAACACGGCAAAATTGAAAATGTTGCAGGCTCGGTTTGATTGAGCCTGTTCATGGACGGTATTGTCAAGTGCAAACTACCGTCCACGCCCCCTAGCACCGACTTAAGCAGAATTCAACATTTAACATGAACTGGTAAAATTTAGAATTTTGAATCATCCGCAGATGTGTTCATATGGCGGTTATCATAGAACCTTCAATGTGACACGTTAGTGCCATTCCATGAAAAGTTGCATATTGTTCCCCAGTAAAAAAAAGGCGTGTGCCCTAAACGAGAAAACAATGGGCGGAACTAAATAAAATGGAATTTTGAAAGGGGATCTGTGGTTATGAAGCCTACATATCACAGATATAACGTCAAAAGACAAATTTAAAAAGCAGGCCTCATATCCTAAGGGTGATTCAACATTATTCAAGTGAGGAATACTGGAACCACCCAACAAGAAAGATGCCGAATATATAGAACTAAAATACCACAAGCACAACAATAATGTTGTGCTGAACGATCTTTAAGGATCGGAAATATAACATCCTTGATTGAAAATGTGATCTTATATTCCCTTTTAACAATGATGAAGATTGAATACCATCATTCCAACAACTTATATAAATATCCCGTAATCTATTCCTAAAAAAGGTACAAATAGCTTTATATTTACAGAATCGGGATATAACCAGACTTCATTAAATCTTGCTGACTGAAGAATGATTTTAACTTTTGAAGCCCAGTTTGTTGAAAAATTAACCACATCAACATCATATATCTGTCTACACAATATTGTTTACAATATACAATTATCTTTTTAATCTGTCTATAACTTAAGAAAATATTTTATCATAACAATTGTAACAATTAATATAATGATCTGAGCCCTTTTCCAGCTAACGTCTTTGTAGCTTGCATGAATGACCCCCACTCGTGAATACCACATCTAAGTAGTAAAATGAATTTACTACCTCAATTTCTTGATTATTATAAAACCAGTTATCCATATTACCAAGTCTAACACCTTTTCTGAATACAATTATTTTTGTCTTTTCAACATTTGCCGTCAAATTCCAACGATTGAAATAGGACAATAAACTATCAAGTGACTTCTGCAAACCGGACCTAGATTCTGAAATGATGGCGGCATCGTCAGCAAATTACAACAAATAAATTGATATTTGGTCGATATTAAGACCAACGTCAATATTTTCTTGCAGGTGTAATATCATGCAAGAACGGGGAGAAAAATATTGGAGAAGTTATCTCATCCCTGGAATAGACCAATGTTACTATTAAAGACACCAGATAACGTTCCTAGATGTTTAACACACAATTTTACCTCATTATACATTGATCTTATAATTGACAGGAATTTGCCTAATTTTATAAGTTTATACCATAACCTTGACCTATCAATACAGTCATATGCTTTTCTATAATCAACGGAACAACAGTACAGCTTATTTTTGTTTTCAATTTCCCTTTGTATTCAGTGAATGTAAGATAAAAACAGGATATTATAGGCATAACTGAACAAAATTGCTTCACTTGGCTTTTGATATTTCTTGGAGAATATTTGTCAAATGTTAAATATGTTTGTGCAGTATTTAGTTAAAGTAATTAATTTACTCAAACTTGCATGTGATAACGCGCTGTCCCATACAAATACACAGCCAGTATTGTATGTTTTGTATTATTATTTTGCATAACCATGTGTTACTTTAAGTGAAATGGTTTATAATGGAAGGTTTGTGATACAATAGATAATTGGTATCATACATGACAACAAACCACGAAATATTATATATTTATATAATTATCATTGTTGTATACCATAGTGAGATACTCGACCCAATATTACATAAATTGTTTTAGAACAACACATTATTCATATCATATAAATGTTCATATAAAACACTTAGACCTCTTATCAACATGTTTATCCAGAAATATTTCATAATATATTCTAAATGATACATTGCTACTGTTTTTATCAATATATTTGAAATAATTATAAAAATATGTGTCACTTGTAGACCACACACTTTTAGAAATACTACAGATTTATTAGTTTCTTACAGTCCTTTTAGCATACAT